TTGAGTATTAATTGAATGAAATTGCATGTTACTTTAATGTTGATTTGATAAATTGAATATTTATTGAATGATTTTGGATGTTAATTTGATGAATTATAATATCAAAAAGTTAAAAGTGTAATACCAAAATATTAAAAGTATAATATTAAAGGATAAAAGTGTAATATCAAATGATTGAAGTGTAATATTACACCAGCATCGGTCGCCCATTCCAACGATCGGCCTTAATTCATCCATAAGTAAATTACACTTACACCCCTGAAGTATAACAATATTTTTATTTTGTTTCCTATATTTCACCTTCAAGTAATATTTTGTGTTAATTTGTATATAAATTGGATGAGATTGAATGTTATGTTGATGAATTAAATGTTTGTTAGTTGAATTTTAATATTAGTTTAATGAATTATATGTTTATTAGGTAAAATTAAATGTTGCATTTAATTCTTCAAATCAACATTTAATATTATCTAATAAACATTTAATTCATTAAACTAACATTAAAATTCAACTAATAAACATTTAATTCATCAACATAACATTCAATCTCATCCAATTTATATTCAAATTCATTCAATTCCTAAAATTAATATCGAAAACCCTTTAATAAAGATTCAATTTAACAAATTAACACGAAAGTAACATGCAATTTAATCCAATAAACATTTAATTTTTCAAATAAATAGCAAATTAACATTCAATTTTTCAAATCAACATTCAATTTCATCTAATAAACATTTAGTTCATCAACTTAACATTCAATCACATCAAATTAATATTCAATTAATCAAATTAACACAAAATTAACATTTAATTTATCTAATTTATATTCAAATTCAATAAATTAACACTCAATTTATCAAATTGACATAAAAAATCATCCAATAAAGATTCAATTTAACAAACCAACATCAAAGTAACATAAAATTTCATCCAATAAACATTTAATTCATTAAATCAATACCAAATTAATATTCAATTTCATTTAATATTCAATTCATCAAATTTATACCAAATAAATATTCAATTTCATCAAATAAAAATTCAATTCATCATATTAACACCAAATTCTAAACCAAACAAATACTTTTGGATAGTAAAAGGGAGAAGAGATGTACGGTAAAAGAAATGGAGGGAAGGTAAGAGAAGTGAAAAATGGTTTGGGCGGGAAAAGAGATGGAGGGAAGTGAAGAGAAGTGAAAAATGGTTTGGGCGAGAAAGTGGGTGGAGGGAGAAGATAAGGTTTTGTGATTATGGACCACAATATTCGCTTAGAAAATAAACAAATAATATATTGTAATATGTGGAGTATAAATGTAATTTACATGTAAAGAATTAGGACCGGTCCAAGAAACGGGAGACCGATCCTGGGTAAATATCACACTTTTATCCATTTTATCCCTTAACTATTACATTTTTATCCCCTAAATAATCAAAAAAATCCTACTGTAGTCTAAAAATATTCAATATTTTTTAAATAGTCCCATTTTTTTATTAACAATAAATAAATAATGAATAAAATAAAATAATTAAAAAAATTGTAAATAATGCTTCCAACTATTTGAGTTAGGATTATAACTTTTTTTGGATTATGTTCCAATTTTTTGGGGTAACTCAAATTAGTTAGATTACAACTGTTTTGGTTAGATTTCAACTATTTTAGATTGAGTTATAAGCTTTTGGTATGATGTTTAATTTTTTAGGATTGAATTATATTTTTTTAGGGGTGGTTCTAATTTTTTTGGATAGAGTTTCAATTTTTATGCATTAGTTTATATTTTTGGCTCACCTTTCAATTTTTTTAATTGAGTTATAACTTTTTGGAGTTTGTTTTGGGTAGAGGTTCCAATTCTTTGGGTTCTAATTTTTGATTGAGGTTTCAATTTTTTTTAAATTGAATTCTAACTTTTTCGGTAGGGTTTCCACTTTTTTGAGGTGGGTTCCAATTTTTTTGGGTAAATATTTCAACTTTTTGGGTAGGAGTTCCAATTTTATTGTATGAGGTACAACTCTATTAAATGTGGTACAACTCTTTTGGACTAAATACAACTCTATTGGATATGTTACAACTCTTTTGACTAGATAATATTTTTTAATAGCAACGGATTTCACCGATTTTAAAGACCTACGTGTCACATATACAGTCCACCTCACTTTTCAGTACCGTACCGAAAAGTAGGTTGGTTGGATAGTAGCCTTACCCTAATTTGGGTGAAAGATAAGGACTTGTTGTACTCTCCTTCTTTGTTTTTTTTGGGAGGGAAAAAGGAAAAGTGCAGGACCACTTGGACTCTTGATTTTAAGAAATTAAAGTCTTTATAAAATACAAAGTACTATTGGATCAAAAACTCATAAATACTTATTCTTCCCATTAGTAATCAACAGGGGAAAGTTCAACACACAACTTACAGGAAGTTTAATGGGTTTACCAGGTGACAGTGATGTGATTAGATAAAGCCATAAATTTCCCATGCAAGTTCGTGGAAAGTTCACCGAAACTTCAACAAACTTTGGTGGCAATCTTCCCCCCAGTTAAGTGCTACCCTTTTTAGGTCATTAAAGACAAAGTAGTAGGTAACTCACTTTAGTAGGAGGGTTTGTCCCATCAAAATCCGGTTATAATCCAAACTGTGTAAATTTAAACTCAAATGTTATAATTTTATATCAATTTTCATTTGACCCGCCTTATGAGAGCCCCACTACATATAATTGAAAGTTAGAGTAATTCTTCGCTCCAAAGGATCACTGATCGGAAAGTACCTTATAAATTATTTACGATCTTTTTTAACATGATGATCTCACCCCTAATCTTTAAAGTTTACCACTCTTATATATTAGTCAAGCTTGAAACACTTTCACGACCCTATATCCTCGGCCTTCCATCATCGTTCGCCTAACTAGCCCATCTTTCTTTAGAGAAAGAACTACTCACTCCACTTCTTATGAAACGGGGAATGCGATTTAGAACATCGTCGATGACATTTGGACTATGTACAATAGGTTTTTTGTGAAATGTTCAATCCTAATTAATCAGCACAACTATTAGTGATTCTTTGGTAGATAAAAAGAGGGGAGGGAGACACTTTGGTTAGCATTAAAAATTATTTGCTTTTATCATACTAGGTATAATAACATTGATGGGAGGACTTCAGACATAGTCATTTGCCATAGAGACCAATGTAAATAACTGGTAGAAAGTATAATACATAGAGGATAATGAGCCTGACTATGGCATTTCTGTTCCATACCATGGATTCAACAGTTCGATATAGAGATTCAATATACCGTAGTGAGATCACTTTTCTTTTTTTATCTCAGCAGAGTAGGAACAGTTTCTAAATTTTCCTAAACCCCCCTCCCCCCCCCACAGAAGATCATCATAGTAGGGCCCACTCCTCGAGTTCTTGTGGACCCAAATTGAGAATTCTTGTCACCCACTCATCATCAAACTCCCCACCATCCCAGCCATCCATTTTCTCCGCACCCTCATCACCACCCTTCATGTACCACTCTCTCCTCCCACACCCACGACCCATTTCTGGTCGGCACCGGCAAACCCATATCCCCGGTGGCAATAAAATTAGTGGGCCCTAGAACCGGAACACCACCACTACTCAGCTCAGTGCCAGCCATCACAGTGGATGCAGAGTCTGAAAATGCAGGCCCACAGCTCTCATTATCGCCACCTACAACGATAAACGACGACAACGGTGAAGCCATCGGAAAAATATCCGGCGTCAAAGATGTGATTATATCACGGTCATCGTTATATCTATAGGCTATTTCTCTCCATAGCTCTTGCATTACTTCCTTTACCATCTCTTCGTTTATGGGTATCTCCAGCGAGAACTCATCGTCAGATATCGCTAGCAACTCGTATAGTTCTCCACTAACCTCGCCGCCGTTTTCAGATTCTGGCTCTTTCCTGCTTTCTTCCATGTTTTCTGTGCAGAGAGAGAGAGAGAGAGGGTGGGGGGGTTGTGTGTGAGACAAAACAACCATGTACGTACTATATATATAGGTGGAGCATGCCAGCGTGGTTGATACGGAGTTCCACGTAGGATGGAAGTCTGTGTCTGATGACGTGGCTTGAGTTTTTTTTCTTTTTTCAAACCGTTTGAGAGTAGACCATCGTAATTTTTTTGAAGGAAAGATAGAAAATTGAAGAAATGGAAAGTATAAGGAATATATTTTTTATTTTTTAAAAGAAAAAGAAAAATAATATATATTTTTTGTATTTAATAGGATAAATGGAAAAAATATTTTTTCTATTTTTTATTTTTATTTATTTTTAATTTTAATTTAAAAAAGTATAAATATATATTTTATCATTTATATATAAAATTAATACATATATATATATATATATATATATATATATATATATATATATATATATATATATATATAGACAAATAAAATACAATTTAACATAAATAATTAATTTTTCATATATACTTTTCTTTCAATTTTAAAGGGATTAATTTTGATGTTTTATCTATCTCTCAAACTTTTCATCTTTCTATCGTACCAAACGAAGCACAACTTTCTATAATTGTTTTATCAAGTTAATTTCCCCTAATTATCTATATACCTTTCCAAGTTATAATGAGATAGGAAAAAAGGGAGAATAACAAGGACAAGGAAAAAAAAAAAAGACGTGTGGAAATTTCGTACATCGCAAAACTACTATTAATAACTTTCGTTACAATTAGAAAAGTTAGTTTCCTAAATAGTTTTTTTTGTCCCCCCAAAGTATTTGGATGCATCACATCATGGGGTTCAACTTTGAACAGTTGATATTCAGATCATTTTCTTAGTATAATCACATTGAAACAACTCTAGTTGAATTCCTTCAACAGGTATACATGAGTTCAATTTACTTACATCAACTAGAACAATTCAATGGAGATGGAGAGCAAAAGTGGGGAAATTTAAAGAACAGAGAGAAGAGGAGAGGGAAAGCAAAGTGAAAATTTTGTAATTACTTCATCTTTAGTTTCCACTTGAAGGGGAAAAAGAATGGTATTCAATGAAATAAAATGAAACTTCTGAAATCTAAATTACAACATTGCATTCCTCTACTCCACCTTTCCCCAACCCTCCTTACAAAAATTACAACACAGAAATATGAAAAAGAAATAAGTGAAGATTTCTTGAACTTTCACATCTAAAAAGGAGGAAACATGTATGTTCAAGCCCAGATTGCCAGAGAAGACATCAATCCAGCCCCAAGGAACAACATGATATAAGAGGCTATCTGGAGCCTCACATTGCAGCTCATTCTCTTACTCAAGAAATCAGCAGCAATAAGGTCCACTAAAGCCATGTATACTAGAATACCAGCAGAGAGAGAGTCAAAGATACCTTCGATAACTAATGCTCTTGGGCTCATCGGATTGTAAAACGAAGAAATGCCACTTCCAATGGCAATCCCAACCGGGGTTGTTACAGAGAAAAAGCATGCCATTATGATTGTATGTAGGGACCTTAATTGTGCCTGGGAGATGCAGCCTCCCAGTGCAAACCCTTCAAAGAACTGATGGAATGATAGTGCTGCAATCAAGGGTTTAATGGTACATGGGCTGTTTGAAACTCCAAGTGAAAGTCCAATGATCACCGAGTGTGATACGATTCCAACTTCCAAAACCTGTAGAAACGAAAGAATACTCAGTTCAAGCCAAAATTTTCGGTCACTGTGTGAGAACTGGAATCAGGAAATGCTCAGAAATCCACAACATTCTGGTGGTAGCAAGAGCTGCCTAATGATAAAAAAAAACTAGCACTACAAGCGTAGCAGATCCTATCTATAAACACAGACTAAAAAACAGTATAACACATTAACACTTGGACCAAATCAAGCAGCATTAGATCAAATCATGTTCCACATTACAATATATAAAGGGGAAAAAAAAGGAAAAGGAAGACTTGCCACTTTATTCTGCGTTAGACAAGATCATGTTCCAGATTACCCAATCAGCCAATCTCAACATCAATTTAGCCTCGGACCACAACCACCAGGAAATATTTTACTTGTTTACTTTGTTTTTTCAATATCAGACTTTATATCACCACCACTAATTAGAGCAGTTTAATTTATCTCTTAGGATCCATATTGGTATATCAAGGGTGAAACTTTGATTTCAAGAAAACAGATAGAACAAGTATGATAATGAGTTCATTTAACCAAATCTTTGTTTCCTATGCCCACACTAAAAGCAGCAATTGCAACCTAATGTCAACAAAAACATAATAATTCCATAGGATGGACTTTAATTTACAGCATTGAGCAGGCAAAAGATGATGCATGGCAAGAATCATTCTAGTAGGTCTGCAAATATAAAACGTTATGAACGTCGCTAATTCTTGAACTTAAACATTCTAAGAAATTCAAAATTATTTTTCTGGTCAAACAAGAATTTTTCTAAAGCAGAATTGGAGCTCCACATGGCCTCACTAATTTGGCTGTTGAACAGACGGGGACCGAGAGACAGGATGTTACCACACCCCTACACTCCCCAGACTTAGCCAGAACAGAGAGCATCACCACATCAAGCAAGTCAAACAACAGGAAGATAACCATATTTAGTGACAGTAAAAATTCCTCAAACAACCAACTCCATATGTCATCAATATGTATTTGTGTTTTATGTCAATTTTCAGGTGAGATGACTCACCAAATGAACACTATGAAACCGACTAGACCAGATGCTTCCACAGATGAAGCACCATAAAGTTCACAGGAGGCACTCGCAGCCCAATAAAAAAGTTGTCCACTATCAATAAAGATTTGATAGGTGTCTCTTTTGAAATGTCAGCTCAATGTAAATGATGTGAAATTTAAATTCAACAAGATGCCTAAGACTTAAAAACCAAAATATACTAATAGTTTACATAGTTATCTGCAAACCATTAAATAAAGTAGCTTTCGTCACTTTATTTAATTAAGTCAGTCTGAACTTTAAGGTCCACAAGATAGAAGTGCAATATGAGAAAAGGCATGGTAATGGTTGTTCTTGTGCAGGACCTACAGAATATAATTTCATTAACCCATTCAACATCAAGGTTAGACCAACCATTCAGCAAGTATTAATAAATCAAGCAATTTCTCATACATTATAGTAAATAGCACTAATGCCTTAGAAGACAAAGCCTGAAATTACCTGCGAAACAACCACATGCCTCACACCACCATCCTTGTCCACATCACCAAACCCGTGCGAGTGCCCATGTCCATGCCCATTGGCATCCTCCTTCACATGCCCCTCACAAGCATCCTGTCCTTGAGGATGGCTATGTCTATGATGCGCCACATGCGCATGCATACCCACAATGTGCATTGCACCACCTTCCTCTTCCCCAAACACAGCCCCAATCCTTTGTGTTGCCTCCACCACAGGAACAATACCTGACTCAACCACCGATTCCACCGAGTCAACTCGGGGAATTTGACTTTGTTTCTCTTGCTTTCTCTCATAATACTGAGTCCCCACAAAGTCAACCATCAATGTAGCCAATGCAGCCATCATGGCGATGAAACCAGAGAACGGGAACTTTGACCAAGGGATTTTGGGCAGACAGGAGTTCGTCAGAGCCTTAGTGGCATCCGGTAACATGTGAACAAAGCCAGTGGCAAGTATAACGCCGGCTGCAAAGGCTTTGGCGGCAACAAAAACATTTGAGTCAGTTCGAAGGAAACTGTGTTTCTTGCCAACTAATGGTATGGCAATACCACACACTCCGGCGGTGAGGATGGTGCCAATAGCTACCATTTTGAATATGAATGCCCCCGACTTGTCCTGGCATGCTTCTAGCTCAGAATTGTCGCCAATGCAAGTGGTGATGGACATGGATTGAGAAAGGTTCTGCAACATAGAGTCTTTTTGGACAACCAAAAATAAAGAAAAACCAAGTTTTAAAATCCCTGATGAATCACCAAGAATTCAAGTGAATTATACTGAGATTACAATCTGATATGGTTATACTGTTTGGCTGGTAGGAAAATGAAGTAAATTACAGAAATCTAAAACAGAAGCTTTATTTAACCAAAGCAAGGAAAGAAAACTTAAGGAAATTCAAAAAATGCAATCAAATTGTACAAATTATCATGAGGAGGAAATCCCTTATTTTTTTCTTTCTAATTAGAGTGTTTGGTTAAGGAGAAAATGAAGCTAAAAAACAACAATACTCCAAAAGCGACCTTTTTTCCACCTAAACAACAAAAGCCAAACTCAGGATCACCCCCAAACCAGCCAATTCATATGACATTTAGTGTAAAATCGGGACCATGTTCCCTCTTCGCCCGTTTGCTAAGTGAGAAAAGTAACGAGAAAAATAGATAAACCTTGAAAAATTAACTCTGTTCTCACCCGAAACAAGAAAATTTTCGACACCCAAGAAAAATCAGTTCAACAAAACGGTTTCTTGAAAAAAGGAACTTCTTGGGTTGTCCATAGCTCTTTAATTTAAGACTTCGCAAAAAAAGATAATCAGCCAATTAAGCCTTAACACAAAGTACTTTGGCTTAATTGGAATAAACTGTTGTCAATAAATAATCAAAACAACAAAACCCAAGATTCAAAACTAAGTTTAGTTCTTATCAAACGAATCTCCTCAGCAATTAAGACGTGGGTTTTCGTAAATTACCTGAGAAAGTTCGGGTCTTTTCTCGGATTTGATCAAAGAAAATCAAAGGTAATAGATCCTGTAAAACAAGAAATTCAATAAGCACAACTTTCTTGCCAAAGAACACTTATAGAAAGCACGTCGTATGTCTGTAACTGCAACACACAGACACTGAGACACACAGAGAAAGAAATAGCGAGAGGGACAGAGAACCTCAATGAATGACATGGGTGCGAATTTTTTGGGAATTCGAAAAACACGAATCTCTATATAGTGATGGATCGTCTGATGAGTTCAATCTACATCGACGTTCACACCGAAACCATGACAAGCGTCATACGATGAGAGATGAGGATGAGGATGAGAGATGAGAGATGAGGATGATGCTTTTATTCTGCCCACAGCACATCCATCTGGCCCTTATATTGATGTTTCTGTAATAGAATGGATGAGAAAGATAGACACAGAGGAGGCGTCTGAGAAGAGAAATGTCGACATATTTGAAGAGGTTAAGAGGGCTGCGTTGCTTGGTGCGTGGAAACTGCGACTATTTTCTGTAAGAGAATGAGAGAGATAGTGTCGACACTTTTCATGTAATTACCGGCCAACTCGTGCTTCCATAAAATATAAAATTTGAGTCCTAAAAAATTAATTTTATTATATTAAATAATAATTTTTATTTCTTTCATTTTTTATTACATCATTCAATATTTATTTTTATTTATTATTTTCTTAAAAATATTGACAAAATTTTCTCAAAATACGTATTTCAATAAAAATTTTTTAACATATTTATATTATCGCGTGTGAATAATATCTAAAACCAAAATTATGTTAAATTATAAATTAATCAAATTTTAAATAATTGAACATGTGATAGAAATGAGTGATGTGATGATTTTGAGAAAAAAATGTATGAGGGATAAAATTCAACTCACTGGGTGCTTTATTATATAGATTCTTTAATCTCTTTACAATATAAAAAAAATACATAATACTCCCCCAACTTTTTTACATATCATCTAACAGTTGTCAAATTTTGTAGTTATGTTATTTTGGTCCCCAAATTCTTTTGATTTAACTCTTAGTGATCCAATCACTCTACATGCGTTTAAATTGGTAGCATAAAATATCAAGTGATGTTTACACAAATAAAACTTTTTGTCCTTAGAATATTTGAGAAAAAATAATGCTATAAGGATCATCTAATTTGGAGATTTAATTCAATGTAGTTATTGGATTAATTGTAAATTTGAATATTATATAAAATTTATTTCTAATCCAACATCTATAATTAATTAATCCCCAACTCATATTTAAATAAGATTTTCCTTTGATAAATATTACTAATTTCCTTGATTAACAATTACGTCATTTTAATCTAATGGGCGTCAAATGTTAACATTGAGGTGCATGTGTTGACATTTTCTAAATAATGAATAGTCCTGCATAAGGTTATCTGTGTATATAATATTAGAGTAAGATTAGAGAAGAGTCGCATAGATACGAGAGTTATAAGAGATAAAATCATGAAGCATCATAACAATAGTTATGAGTAGTTAAAATAAGAAGAGAGAAATAGTATTACAGGTATTTCAAATGTGAACAATAATCCCCGTATTCTCCCTTTATTAAAGTGGTAGCTTTAGGAATACAATTAACAGAACCAACAAGTGGGAGACAAAAATAATATTTCCCTTCTAGTTTAGGAATAAAAAATGTGCTTATCAATTGAAAACTTAGATGGAACCAGATGCATTCTTAAAAGAAAGTGATTTGCCTTTCCTACAATGCAAGGAATAACGAAGTCTTTAGTGAAAATTTGAGAACTGATGTAAGACGGCTCATACTTTAGGGATATAATTGTAATTTTTCTATATAATAAATTAATTAGTTTTCTATATTGAGTTGTGTTAGTTTATTGGCTTATAATAGTAACGTCTGCTTGTCTTATAAGTTATACCAGCCCAAAAGTTTCTCAACTCCGGCGGAAATCTTCCTTGTGTCGTGTCGAGCATTCTTTCTTGTGTTATTTTAATTAATTTTAATTTAATTCATTTAATGAATTGAATTATGTCGACTTAACCTATTTGTTTTCGAATCATACTTCTGTTGACTCATGTAACCTATGAATAAAAAATTTAACTACGATTTAAATCTAAATTTTCATTATTATTTAATCGAACACATATCCATATTTTTTCTATAATCTAAAAAATAAATTAATAAATGTAACAAAAAATATGAGTAAAACATTTTTTTATATAGAATAATACGAATATTTGATAAAAAAAATAATATAAATTTGACCTTTTATTCATATAAATTCTAGTTAAAACGTATTAGTCGTGTTAATTTCGTGTTATTCGTATTCATAGGTCGAATCATTTACGGGTTTATGTCAACAAATGATCAACCCCAAACCTGCTAATTTCATGTTGATTTCAAATCGAATTTTCGTGTTGTGCTAAAAATTGCCACCCCTAATTACTCTCACACAAGAAAAAGGGGGGTTTGGTAGGTAAGAAAGATTTGCTCCTTTTGTTTACAAGAGAGATAGAGAGAGAAAACGTTTTAGGAGTAGAAAATATTAATAATAAGTGCGAATAAATGAATAATGTACTTAATAAAAAGGTTAAAAATAATCATAATTAGAGTCATCCACTCGGACATAAATAAGAGCTTTTTTAAAATTATAATAACTAATTGTTGAGTTTGAGGGAATAATTGACATAAATATATAAACCTGGTAACAAAAAAAAAAAACAGAGCACTTTTTAAGCTTATACGCTTTATGTGGTTACATAAGTCAGAGTTCTTATATATAAGCTTTTTTTAAGGAAACCATTAGTTGTGATAGGAAAAGGGTAGAATAAATAGACAAGACAGTAACAAGATCAGAAAAAAGAGAGATAAATAATGTTGGTTATTCTCGTTCCTTAAATCTCATTTTTTATTTTATTTAATTCTTTTATTTTAAATTACTAAATTCATTTAATTTATACTCACCCCATCAGTAATGATTTAAATTTTATTTTGATGTATTATTTCGATAAAAAAATATTTCAGGAATAAAATAAAAATAAAATAAAAATTATTTTTAAAATATTAGTCGAAATATATCAAAATATTTTAAAATACCTCAAAATATTTCAAAGATATTGATAAGAATATACACCTTGGAACATTGAAATTCCGTTTCAATTATTATTTTTGTTTTAGTTTAAAATATATATTTAATAATTTAATTGGATAAGTATAAATGTGATGAACTTAGTCATTAATGGGGTGAATATAAATGTGATAAATTTAATAGTTTGAAATAAGAGAATTACACGAGGGTAGGAAATGAGATTTAAGGGCTAAGAATAACCCTACCCTTGAAAATATCCATTAATATTTTGGGTTAGAATGAAAATCTATTTTCCTTTTGGTGATAGAAGGTGATATATCTTAGGCGAACCAAGCTTCCTTTCTTACCTTTGCTTATGCAAAAGGCCCGAGAAAGGACTTCAATCGTATTACGGTTTCATACATAAGGATCGAAGTTAAGACGATGAGGTTGATTGTTTTCACTTTTGTAATTATAAGAATTATGGTCTTTTTGAGACAAGTTTTTTACGGTGACAGTGTCTACCATCACAAAAAACAAACATATTTTGGAGATTTTTTTTTGTGATGGTTGTATTGTCATAAAAAATTTATTTGCTGCAACAAATACTATTTGATGGTCGATGCCGTCACAAAGACTTTTTTGATGGAGCTTAGTGTCTAAGTACATTAATTGTCCTATATTTATTGTTTCTATTAATAAGCCATAGTCTTTAGGAATTAGTTGATTAGGTTTGAATTATTCTCATCCACTTACCACATTCTTAGGTTTGTTAAACGTTGGTTGTTTATGTTTTGCTTTCTGTTGTAAAAAGCTTTTATATAAGCCAAAGTTTTTGTTCAAAAAGAATAAGCTTTATTCTCCCAAATGAGTGAGTTTCTTGTGCAACCGGTAATCAAATTTTAACAATTGGTATCAAAGCCGGTTGCGGGGCCTAATTGAGTGAGGTTAAGAATTTGTAGAATTCTTAAAGAGAGAAAACAAAGAGTGAAACACAAGAGGAAGAGAGATAAGAGAGAAGGAGGAAAGCACGAAGTATGGCAGTAAAAAGAAACTTCGTACAACCTGCAATTCCTAGGTTTAATGGTCACTATGACCATTGGGTCATGTTGATGGAGAATTTTCTCTGATCTAAGGAGTACTGGAGTTTGATTGAAGTTGGGATACCTGCAGTTGCAACAAGAGTGGAGCCAATTGAGGCACAAAGGAAAACAATGGAGCATCAGAAATTGAAAGATTTAAAAGTGAAGAATTATCTCTTTCAATCTATTGATCAGACTATCATGGAAACTATCCTTAATAAAGAGATTGCGAAGAGCATATGAGAATCAATGAAGTAGAAATATCAAGGATCCACCAAGGTGAAACATGCTCAATTGCAAGCTCTTTGGAGAGACTTCGAGGTTCTTCGAATGAAAGAAGGTGAGAGTGTTGATGATTATTTTGCAAGGACTCTCACCATAGCAAACAAAATGAAAGCTCATGGTGAGCAAATGGAGCAGATTGTTATAGTGGAGAAGATCCTGAGATCAATGACACCAAGGTTTGATTATGTGGTGTATTCCATTGAAAAATCAAATGACCTTGCAACTATGACTATTGATGAACTTCAGAGCAGTTTACTGGTGCATGAGCAGAGAATGAGAGGTCACAAGGAAGAAGCACAAGCTCTAAAGGGCACAGGTGGAGAAAGGTTTAAAGCAAGGGAGGATGACAGAGTTGGAGTTAGAGGTAGAGGTAGAGATTGTGGAGGCTATAGAGGCAGAGGAAGAGGCCGAGGGAAGCAGCCACTCAATACAGCCATCATCGAGTGCTACAAGCGTCAAAAAATTAGGGCATTTTCAGTATGAATGCCCTAATTGGGAGAAAACTGCCAACTACACAGAGTTTGATGAAGAAGAAGAAATGCTCCTCATGTCGTATGTGGAAATTCATAACTCAAGAAGAGAGGAGGTATGGTTTCTTGACTCTGGTTGTAGTAATCATATGAGTGGTAATAAACTTTCGTTTTCAAATTTGGATGAAAGCTTTAGGCAGTCTGTAAAGCTAGGAAATAATTCTAGAATGGTTGTGTTGGGAAAAAGGAGCATTAGATTGAATGTTGGTGGAATGATTCAAGTGATCAATGATGAGTTTTATATCCCAGAATTAAAGAACAACATATTGAGCATAGGTCAATTGCAGGAAAAGGGATTAACCCTACTAATTCAACATAATGTGTGCAAGGTGTTTCATTCTACTAGAGGCTTAATTATGCAAACAACAATTTCTACTAATAGCATGTGTGTGGTGTTAGCCTCTATATTTCCACAGGAATGAACTTGTTTTCAGGCAATTAGTGAAAATGATACGCATTTGGGGCATTGCCGGTTTGGTCACCTTAATTTCAAGGGACTTAGGACACTGTATTACAAGAAAATGGTCAAAGGCCTACCTCCACTCAAAGCTCCTACAA